TCCCTTCTGAGGCAGCTGGGCTCAGCGGGGCTGAGTCAGGAATAACCCTGTCTGCCCTGGCGGGGGGGGGGGGCAGCGGGTCTCCAGCGGGTCTCCAGCAAGAGCTGAAGCAGCTCCATTGTGGGGCCCAGCTGCGAACTTCTCCCCACTCCCCAGCCGTCGTGGCTCTGTGTGTGCGGGGGCTGGCCTGTCTCCCATGGCTTTCAACCCTCCTCCTGTTTGTCCCTGCAGCCCAAGCTGCTGCGCCCCAGCCTGCTGGTGGGTGAGGAGTGTGTCATGGAAGGGCTCCGCGTGTACCTCATGCCTGACGGACGTGAAGAAGCTGCCGGAGGGAATATTGGGGGCCCCCCACTGCTCCCCGCCGAAGGAGCCATCTTCCTCACCACTTACCGCATCGTTTTCAAGGGCACCCCCACGGACCCGCTGGGTGAGGACCCTCTCTCTGCGCCATACTCTACATCCCCTGTGGCCTGGTGGGCCGGTCTCCGCACTGCTCCTCGGGGGCCTCGGGCAGATCAGCCATGGGAGGTGGAGGATTTGCCGGAACAGGGGGAATCCATCCTGGGTGGGGTTTCTGGGGCCCTGCCCTGCTGCCGACTGGACTTGGGAGTGAGGATTCTGCTGTAGGGGGCTTTTCGCCTTCGCTTACCCGGAGCCCGGCGCCATTTAGAGCCAGCAGGAGGCCGGGCTGGTGAGTGGTTTTTCCCTCACCGGGGATCTGAGAATGGGCTGTGGCCAGAGGGGGGAGGGGAGGGCTCACTCAGAGTACTGTAATGGAATTACCTTTTACAGGGGAGGGGCTGTTTGCCCATTGGTCTGGGGAGAGGCATTTGCCGAGCAGGTCCCCCTTTGGTCCCCGTTTTATTCGCCGGTCCCCTTCTGTAGCTCCAGCTGCCTTGGGCTACAGGCTGATTCTGCCCTGGAGCAGCAAGCGCAGTCCCAGAGCTACTGGGGAGCAGCTGAGGGCAGCGTGTCCCAGCCCATCGGTAGTCTGAGCCAGTTCGAGACCCTATCCTGCATGTGACTAACGTGTCCCCTGTTCTCTCCATGGCCCCAGTGGGGGAGCAGGTGGTGGTCCGGTCCTTCCCCATTGCCTCCTTGACCAAAGAGAAGAAGATCAACGTCCAGGCCCAGGCCGATCAGTTCATCCAGAAAGAGAAGAAGATCAACGTCCCAGCCCAGGTGGATCAGTTCATCCAGGAGGTGCTGCAGCTGCGCTCATGCACGTTCCAGGTGAGACGAGCCCCCCAGCACTCCTGCCGGAAACACTCTCCAGACAGACAACTGGGCTGCATTCCCGGCTGCTGCTGGACTTCTGGGGCGAGGAGCACAGACCTCGCCAAACTGCTGTGTTGGGCCTCAGCTGGGAGATGGATCCTGCAGGCAGTTTCCCCGGAGTAGAGGGGTCACTGACCTCCTGGTCTTGTGTGGCTTTTGGGCTGCTGCATGCCTGACTGGCCAAAGGCAGCCATCCGGCCAGGTGCCTGCAGGTCCCAGAGAGTACTGTCCCCTGGCTGAGCATTGCCTGCTGGGGTCTGTAGGCTCCATTGCAGAGAGGGGGATAGAATTCGCTGTCCTGTCCTGGACCAATGGCAGTGCTAGGGTGTGATGTCTCACAAGCCCCGTGTGCCCCTCAGACCTACAGAATGCTGCGCCCTGAGGGGCGTAGGGCCTGAGCTAGACCCAAGCCTGTTCCAGGCAGTGCTACAGCCATGGAACAAGGAGTGGGGTGTCTGCAACGTATACCTCCAGCTGATTTGTTTCCTATTGCTTATTGCACCCGTGCAGGGCGGACAGGCAGCATCCCTTCCTCCAAGGGCTCGGGGGGAGGGATTCTCACAGACCAGTCGGGTTTTCAGAAACGGTAACTGCAAGAGGCATTTGTTAAAAGCTGGTAACAAGTCTACATAGGAGAATTCGGGGGTGGCGCATCCAAACATGGCTGTTACCACAGGGTACGTGAGAGAGAAGACGGTAACACATGGAAATCACTGAAGTGTAAATCCTTATTTCCTTTTCATGTAGGATTAACCTACTTCAGGTGGCTCTTCCTGAAGGATGTAACCGAAGTGACCAAATAACATGCACAGCCTTTTCGTAGAACTCCTGGATTTCAGTGTCTTGTTTATACGAGTTCCTAGAAATATTTTAATGTAACGCAGCCGTGAAAGAGCTTGTGCACATGGCTTTTAGAACTTTAGCATTGGCACCTTGAAACAAAAGTGTACAAGCTGATTTAACTCTGAGACACAGCACACAATGATTTTTAAAACCAATGAAAATATTTTCATGACTAAACATTCTAATGCAAACAAATGAAGCACATGTTAATGTTGTGCTTTTCAAGGAACTTTGGCATACCTTGGCAGTGTGAATCAATGTAGGATTAGGTCACTTACAGCACACGTTCTCAAGCGCGTAAGGCCAGTATTATCAAACACGTCAGGTTCATTGATGCAGCCTTGTTCCAGTTCACTGCCTTTGCGTGCTCCTATACAAAGGAGATGTGCTGTTCTGCACTGCATCGCTGGCTGGTGCAGCCACAGAATATTGCCTGCTGCTACTAGTGGCCATGACATGAGCTGTGGCACCAGACCTGTCCTCCTGTGACTGACCCAGTGTGTTTGGAGGAAGACACGACAGATTTGGGCAGCGGGCCTTTCTCCAAACTCCTGCCTGGCAGTGAGCTCTCTGTATATGGAAATAAAAAGCATCATTTCTTAGGGATAGAGCTTCTGATGACCACACGCGGGGCAGGGATGTGGGTGGACCAGGGTGGTCCTGTTGGTGTTGGGGGGCAGATCAGCCCATTTGCCTTCTCCCAGACTTCCATTCCTGCTGTGTTACGTGAGAGCTGTTGACACGAGAGCCATTCGGGCTTCACATAGCCCTGGGCTACTGGGTTGGAAGTTGGGGTGCAGGGAGGAGGCTGGGTTGAGGGAGAAGAGCAGCTGCAGAATGCCCGAGCGTGAGGCCTGGGGGGACGCTAGCCTGACCACCTCATGTTTCCAGTGTTCATGCAGCTCTCCTCTCCTGTGTGTATCTGGAGTGAGGACGAAGTGCCACGGATGAGTAGCCCTGTCATGCCAGCCCTGCTCCCGAGGGCGAGCTAGGTATTGAGGTGACATCTGCTCCCTGGCTGCCCCATGGAAAAACAGTTCTTTCCCTGGCAGTGCAAATCAGCCCATGATGCAATTCTGAGCCCCTTCTCAGAGCAGCGCAGGGAACCCGTCTGTGCTGCGGTTCCCTCTCCCGTCCAGCCTGAGGGGCTGCTGGAACCCCAGGCAGTGGCTGACTGCAAACACAGGGCCGGTTTCTATGCTTAACGGGGAGGAGGCATGTTCCTGTGGACTGAGCACTGGGCTGGGGCCTGGGATCTCCTGAGCTCCAACTCTGACTTATTTGACCTATAGATTGGGGTCACTGCACATCCCCTAGCTCCCGGGGTGTTGTGCGCTCGCAGTGCTGCAGGAAATGGACCTGCCTTCATTCTAGGGCCGAAACGTCCACCTGGTTACACTGATGCTTGGGTGTGGAGCTGGGCAGCTGGGGACATGAGCAGATCTCTCCGCCTGCCCTGGGAGCGGGGATGGCAGCACAGAGACACCGAGTAACCATCCGGTAGGGTCTGTGAAGCCACTGGGGGTGTTGGACAAAAGTAGCCATCGGTGCTGGACTGAGTGAGCAGCAAAGGGGTGAGCTGCCCTGGTGGGCTGGTCCCAGGCACATTGCTGTTGGCTCTGCCCCAGGCTGTGTGCTAAATGTGCTTCCCTTGGGGTCCCGGCCCTGACGTGGGCCGGGTGAAGGCCCTCCCCTTAGCGGCATTCTGAGCCCACTCTGCTGTCCCCACAGTTGCTGCGGATCGCCTTTGACGAGGAGGTGGCTTCAGAGAGCGCCGAGGTCTTCAGGAAGCACCTGCACAAGCTGCGCTATCCCCAGCACGTACGCGGCACCTTCGCCTTCACCGTGGGCCAGTCACCCAAGCAAGCCATGCAGCCCAAGGCCAAGGAGAAAAACCCCTCACTCAGGTATCAGCGGTTCTCTGCCCCCTCGCCGGGGAGTGGGGCCCTAGGCCACCCCATGCTGTGGTAGGACTGGGCTGCCAGGGAGCGTGGGACACAGGACATCCTTTGGGTCCCTGTTTGAAACCCCAAGGAATCTCCTCTGCCCCATCCCAAATCCAGCCGGCAGAGAGCCATTGAGCAGACTCCCTTCAGAGCCCGACCCTGCTCCTCCCTTACCAGCCAGAAGGCTTACTGTTGAGCAAAGCAACGGCATTCTTGGTAGCTAAGCTTGCCTCTCCAGGGCTGGGGTCTTGGCTCACTGGCTCCAAAGCTTTCCCAGCCCAGGGACAAGAGGCCAGGGACAGGCTGCAGTCACGTGCCTCGACTCCTGGCCTGGGCTCTCAGAGGCAGCGGGTCCAGCCCCGAGCAGAAGGGAAGGGGGCGGCGCAGGAATCCCTTCTCAAATCTGTGAAGCAGTAGCATTGGCTGTCGGGAATCCCCTTGCTGGTCTAAGCCCAGCCCTGCAGGAGGGTGGCAGCACTGGGGATGATGAGATGACCCTGTGCATGATGGGGCCCCGTGTCGTGCCACCCACGTTCTGTAACTAGCAAGTGCTGTAGCTGCTGGTGGTCTGGTTGCTGCTGCGTTGGGCTTGGTGCTGTGTGACGTCTAAGCGTCTCTCCTGTGTGTTTGTGACCCAGCTCCCAGCAGGTGACCGATATGTTCCAGGGCCTGGCAGTGGGTGTCATATCCCTCGGGCACCTTGGCCATTCATCCACGTAAGACACCTTCACACTGGACAGGGGCTTGCAAGGTGGCACTGGCTCAGGCTGTAGCCTTCACTGCTCCCAGTGGTTCTTCCTTTCACCCACTCTGCATGCTAAGGGCTTTGGGACTTCCCTTGTGGCTTGATAGGCTCCCTCTCCCAGGGCTTCGGACTGGGCTGCAGGTTTAACCCCACCTTTGCCATCATGGTACAGGCTGGACTGCAAACTTGATGCCTCTCTCCACCATTATGGTACAGGCTGGATTAGGACCCAACACCACTGCGGCCATACGGGCTAGATGGAGGGTTTAGCTCCCCATATGGTCCCAAGGGGACTGTGCCCACCCCTGTTTGCAGCTGCTCTGGAGGGTGAATCCTGGAAGTGTTTGTCCATCCGCACCATGCCCTGGGCTGGGTGCCGGTTGTGTTCCTTTGTCTCTGAGTCCCGGCGCAGCCTGAGTTGGTGGCCACAGCAGTAGGGTTAGGCAGGTGTAGCACTGGCATTTCTTTGGACCCTCTCCGTGTCTGCAGTTCAGAGCCCCCAGAGCCTGTCCTGTGCCCTCCTCCCAAAGCCCTGCTAGCCTGCGGGAAGCGTCGGCTTCCTGCGTCCCAGGCCCTGAAGGTGCTGGGCTGCTTCTGGGGAACTGGCAGCCACTGGCACCTGTGCTGTCTGACAGCTCAGTCTATAGCTAGCATCCCCCTGTCTGCTGTGAAGAGAGCAGCATTGGTCCTGCCCAGCGCCATGCTGAGGGGAAGGATGTGCCAGGGGCTGGGGGGCTAGCCTAGGACGCGGGAGACCCAGGTTCAATTCCCTGCTTCACCCCAGACATCCTGTGTCAGCTTGGGCAAGTCTGGCCATCTGCCTCGGCTCCTCATTTGGCCTGTGGGGACCAGAGTGCTGCCTGGCCTCATGGGGGGCGCAGAGAGTTAGTCGGTGCTCAGATACGAGGGTGACGGGGCCAGACCAGCACCTGAGAGAGCCAGTCCTCTGCCCCCGTTGATGCTCCTATCAGAGCTGATCCAGGATCTCCCTGAGGCCAGGGGCAGTTGATGTCATTCAGCTCTGACTGATTCCCTGCCCAGTCGGATTCTAAGGGGTCCAGGCACCTCTGGGTTGCCCCCTTCATCTTGCTGCGGTCTGGGGAGTGGAAGTTCCTAGCAGGAGCTGGCTGGTCTCTTAGCCCCCATCTCTGACGTGGCCCATGGTAACTGCCTGGCTGTCCTATCCTCCCGGGTGGGAGCCTCGTCTTGGTGGTCCCCAGTCTGCTGGAGCTGGGAAGGGTTGTTTCCCCGGCCCCTCAGTGGCAGGGTTAGTGCAAGTATGTCTGTGGGTGGCACCAAGGGATGCTCCTGCCTCTGCTTTGCTCATGGTCTAACTGAGTGTTGGGGTCTCTCCCTCTCATACTGGGCTGGGCGAGATCTGTGGAGCCCCCCTCTAGGGGCAGGGTCCCTGTGGCCACACGGTGACATGTCGGGCCTGGGGCTGGTACCAGGTTGGCCTCACGTCCCCTGCTCTTGTTCCAGGACGCTTTCCAAGAACCTGATGAAGAATGCCAAGAAGACCATTGGCCGACAGTACGTGACCCGCAAGAAGTACACGCCACCCACCTGGGAGCAGCGCAGCAGTCAGCACTTCCAGGAGGATGACGAGGATGAGATCTCAGGTTGGGAGCTTCCCTGGCAAACAGGCTGCCCCCTGTGTGGGAAGCCTTTGCGGGGGGGAGGCGTCATGGGTGAGCAGTGGGGTCTCAGCCTGTGAGCGCCCAGGAGCTGGGGTCTGCCCTGCAGTGTGCGGTGGCTGGGCTTGGTCACCTGCTGTCACTTGCAGGAACGAAGCCTGGCTCTGTCCCCCTCCGGTGCCAAACCACAGAGCTGCTGCAACCTGGGAGCTCAGCCCCGGCTGGGCGGTTAGTTCAGCCAGTAGCGGCTCATGCTTTTCAATCCAGAGACTCCAGGGTTCAGTCCCCACAGCATCTGGCCCGTGACACTGGCACCGCAGGACGGGGCAGCTGCGCCCTCATCGTCTGTCGCTGCTGCAGCAAGGCCAGGCCTGGGGTGCATCAGACTGTGCCCTGGCCCCAGAGCTCCAGTCTCCCTCTCCCCCTGCTGGGGTTGTGGCCTCCAGAGCAACCTGACCCCACCTCTTCCCTCTGCCTGTGCAGTGTCTGAAGAGATAGACAGGAGCACCCTGACCCCCACCACCATCATCAAACCTTCAGACAAGATGACGATGAGCCACCTAGTCGAGCGAGCCTGCTGCCGTGACTACCAACGGATGGGGCTGGGCACGCTGAGTAATAGCCTCACCCGTTCCAAGAACGAGCCCTTCCGCATCTCCACGGTGAACCGCATGTACGCCGTCTGCCGGAGGTGGGTACCCCGTGTGGGGGGCGTCTGCCGGAGGTGGGTACCCCGTGGGGGGCATCTGCCGGGGTGGGTATCTAACATGTACGCTGTCTGCCGGAGGTGGGTACCCCGTGTGGGGGGCGTCTGCCGGAGGTGGGTACCCCGTGTGGGGGGCATCTGCCGGAGGTGGGTATCTAACATGTACGCCGTCTGCCGGAGGTGGGTACCCCGTGTGGGGGGCGTCTGCCGGAGGTGGGTATCTCTAACATGTACGCCGTCTGCCGGAGGTGGGTACCCCGTGTGGGGGGCGTCTGCCGGAGGTGGGTACCCCGTGGGGGGCGTCTGCCGGAGGTGGGTATCTAACATGTACGCTGTCTGCTGGAGGCGGGTACCTGGCGCATGGGCCACAGGCGGTTCTGGGGGGCAGCCCAGCGGTGGCATCCCCTTCCTCCCTGCTGCGCCATTCCCCTAGTGTGGCATGACGGTGGCATATGGCCTGTGCTCTCTCCTGCAGTTACCCGGGGCTGCTGATCGTCCCGCAGAGCATCCAGGACAACACCATCCAGAGGATCTCGCGCTGCTACCGCCAGAACCGCTTCCCTGTCATCTGCTGGAGGAACTCCCGCACCAAGGCCGTGCTGCTGAGATCGGGGGGGCTGCACGGCAAGGGTGTTGTGGGCCTCTTCAAGTCGCAGAACGCCCCTACTGCAGGTACCTGCCTCTCTGTGACGAGGGGGCGCTGCATGTGCCTCTGGGGAATGCTCCAACTCCCATAGCAACGTGCCGGCAGCGCCCTGGCCAATAGCTTCTCCCCCAGCGCAGTGGTTGTGTGTGCGCCTAGTGAGTGTTGCTGACGCCCTGGCTCTCCTTGCAGGCCAGTCGCAAACGGACTCCACCAGCCTGGAGCAGGAGAAATACCTGCAGGCAGTGATCAACTCCATGCCGCACTACGCTGACGCCAGCGGGCGCAATACACTCAGCGGCTTCACCTCTGCGCACATGAGCAGTGCGGGTAAGGGGGCGTGGGTCAGACCGCAGCCATGGGGCCACAGCGCACTGGGGAGAGGAGGGAGCAGACCAGGCGTGCCCACTTCCTGGGCTGGTGCTTTCAACAGGCCTCTGGCTTTGGGATCCTTGCAGCCCAGCCAGGGAGCCTGGGCAGGGCTGTGCTGTTGCAGTGGGAGGTCGGGTTCTACCCTCCCCAAAGTGCCTCCTTAGTGCACCTCTGTGGGCTCAGCTCCTGCACTCTCCTTTCCCCATGCGGCTGTGGAGCCCAGGTACTGTCAGTGTGGGGCAGGTCTCAGAAGGTCCTAAGCCCTGGGGCTCCCTTACAAGTGCTAGCTGACTTGAGTCCCTGCGCCAGGCCCGCCCTGGGGGCTTGGGGGCCGGGTGGGGATGGTAGGTATGGATTCTGTGAGCAGTGAGATGTCCAAGCACTCCTGGCCGCACTGTGCCTGACTGGCAAGGCCGAGAGCACCCAGCGGGTGGGGCTTTGAGCAGCATATTCAGGTGAGTCTCATGCCCCCTGTTCCTTGTCCTGCCTCTGTCTCCCTCCTCCCGCTGCTGGGAGAGCAGGGCTGACCCAGCATCCTGCGCCAAGCTCCATCCCCATTCATCGTCTGTCTGCACCATCCCATGCCCGGCGCGGCCCAGCCTATGGCATGGGACCAGTGAGCTGAGGGAGCCATTGGCCAGGCTCCACCCTGGCTCCCAGTCTGCCTTGGAATGCGAGAGGCGGCTGCAGGCCTCTCCGTAGGGCCAGCCGTAGTTGGGAGCCCCTCCAGTCCCGCTCCCGGCCCGCACCTGGTGGAGGGGTGGTGGGCGGAAGTTAGCCTGGAGCAGCGTGGGGAGAGGCTCCAGCGACAGTGGTGGGTGTATCTGCTTTTGGAGAGGGGTTGGGACAGAGCTGGGTCAGGGAGAGCGTGCGCGGTGGAGTGTCTGGCAGCAGGTGACCAGAACCCACGACCTTGCAGTGTGGGACCCTGCTGTGAGGCCTGGCCCTGTGCTCTGGCCTCTGGTTCATCCTTGCTGTGGATTCCCGCCCCGGGCACTGCCTCCTCTGCTTGCTTTCTCTCCCCCTCCCCCCAGGGGATGTGTTGCGGGGGGCAGGGGAGATGCTGGGGGGACAAACAGCAAAGGCAAAAGCTGGTGTTTTGTTGGTGCTACAGATTCTTCCGACAAGAGGCAGCCCAAGCTGGGATCGCTCATGAAGCAGGTGATGGGAGGGAAGGACGATGGGCCAGGCACTATTAGCCGAGGAGGTGAGGAACGCCGGGCGCAGCTCCCTGCCCCGCAGGGCCCTCGCGCCAAGGCAGCTGGCCGTAGAGTAGATGCTTCACCTTTGCTTCCCCAGGGTTCGCAGAGCGTATGGGGCAGCCCCACGAGGAGATGGGCCTGTCCTCGCTGTTGGGGGTGGGAGCCCAGTGTCTGGCACTCAAATCACCTGGGAGCACAGCCAGCCGGGGTCACCTCACTCATACCATTCATTGTGCCGCTCGCTCCATCTCACCCCGGGGCACCGCTCCTCCCATTCCCATTCCCCCACCCCTCCCAGCGAGTGCGGCTCGGGGTGAAGCGCATGGTCTGCCACCCTTGCTGAGACTCCTTTCGTCCTGTACTTTCTCAGCGCTAGGTCCCAGAGCTAGGGTGGTCACTCTGTCCACCCCCAAGGGCGCATCGGCGAAGGGCCGTGAAAGTCCCCGAGGTACTGTACCGTCATCCGCCTAACCCGCCGGGCGCTAACCCTGGTCATGTGACTGATTGCCCCATGTAACACCACACCCCCTTCACATGACTAACCCACACGTCCCAGTAACACCCTCCCACCCAATCACAAGGGTGAGCTAATGAGCTGCTGCGTGCTAATGGCTCCCTGCAGCCTGATAACCTGTCACTGAATGGCTTGCCTTGCGCAGTTCCCGGCACTGGCACCGGCACCGCAGGTAAGTGCAGCCCCCAGCTGATTCTGGAACGGGCTCTCAGGTTTGCTTCAGGCACCTCACACATCTGCCAGTGCTTGGATACCGGGGAGGGGGGTTATCTGGCCAAGGGAGCGGGGTGCAGTGCACAGGGACAAGGAGCAGCCGCCAAGGGCCCCACAGTGCACGGGCAGATTGGTGCCGCTCGCTGAGCTGGTGCGGGCTGGGCAGGGCGTCTGTCCAGAGGGGGTCAGCTCAGCAGTGCCTGCAGGAAGGACAAAGGCTCCAGAGCCTCTGACCCCGGCGGGCCCCAGCTGCCCAATCCACATGCTGGCGAGTGGGGGGGAGTGAGAAGCAAACCTGATTCCCCCACGTGCACCGGGAATCTGGGCTGGGGGCCGGAGCAGCTCAGTGAGGAGAGCTGGGCGTCCGGGAGAAGGCAGAAGGTGACAGGGCAGGTCGGAGGCCACGTGGCCTGGGGGCCAGCTGAGCAGGCCGTGGCAATGACCCTACCCTCCCTTGCAGGGAAGTGGGGCAGCATCCGGGCCAGCGGGCGCATGAGCAACTATGTCTTGAACATGGAAATCGGGTCCCGCCTGGCTGGGAAGGACCTGCTGAGCGCTCAGCACAATGGGGCCCCCTCTGAGGCCAGCTTCTTGCGCCAGCACCGGGCCTCTCTCTACATCATTGGGGACAAGTCGCAGCTGAAGGTAACGGCCCGGCGACCAGGCAGCATGTGGGGCAGGCCCGGGGGGGCAGGGAGCTGTCTGAGCCGTCAGCAGCAGGAGCAGTGTGCGGAGCGGCTTGGGGAGAATGGGGGGACTGTCAGGGAGGAGTTGTAGCTTCATGGGAGGCGTCTCCCCTGCAGCCAGGACCGGTGTGGGGAAAGGGGGCCCACTCCAGGGACCGACCCCCTCTGGGCTCACAGCCTGGCAGCCAGGCTCCCCCTGCACAGTGCCCCAGAGCGACCAGTGCAGCTACAGCTGTTCCTAGGCAAAGCCCAGGAGTGGCGTGGGGAACCCGCTGCAAAGGAGGGGTAGGCGGGAACGGGGCCTGGTGCAGCCCAGCCTGTGCTCACCTGGGCTGCCCCTCTCGCCTTCTGCCCAGGGAGTGAAGCCAGACCCGCTGCAGCACTGGGAGGTGGTGCCCATCGAGGTGTTTGACGTGCGGCAGGTGAAGGCCAGCTTCAAGAAGCTGATGAAGGCCTGCGTGCCCGGCAGCCCCTCCACAGACCCCAGCCTCGCCTACCTGCGGACCTTGGAGGAGTCCGAATGGCTGTCCCAGGTCAGTGTGCTGGGTCTTGGGCTGGGCAGGGTCAGACGGGCTGTTGCCGAGGCTGTGGTGCAGACCCGGGTCCAGACCTGCCTCCACACCTGGGATCCTACAGTGTGAGGGGAGCTGGTGCTTGAGGGCGGTTGCTGGTGTGTGTCACAGGACCCCCAAGGCAAGGGGTGGGGGTTTGTTGCTGGGTCACTGGGACAGGACCCAAGCATCAAGTCAGTCGTAGGGTTTAGGGCTAGAAGGGACCAAATCATCTCATTTGACCTGCAGGACACCAGCACCCGCACGGTAAACCCACCAGCCGAAATTCGACCAAGGTATTTCAGGAGACTAGCCTATGGTGTGCCACAGGCAGAGAGTAGGAGGGACCAAGGCCCACCACTGCCTGAGGCCCCCACAATGGTGGGGAATTATCTGAATCCCCCCCCCCCCGATGATCCTGGCAAGTGACCCACACCCTAGGCTGCAGGGGAGGGAAACCCCCAAGGTCTCTGCCAGTCTGACATGGGGGAACATTCCTTCCCAAGCCCACGGACGGTGATGGGTTAGATCCTGAGCAGGTGAGCACCAGAGAGAGCGTGCTCGGCGCCACCTCCGGGCTGTCAGTGGGAACTGTCACGGAATGTGGCATTTCCAGTGCGGCCTGGCAGGGATCAGTCCTAAGTCAATGCTATTCAACATCTCCCCAGTGATCTGGTGAAATTGGTGGGTGACCCCGAGCGGTAGAGTGCTATGTCACAATGAGGAGAGGGCCATCTTACAGGGCCATCTGGATCGCTTGGTAAGCTGGGCCCGTTCAAAGTGTGTTTAAATACAGCTAAGGGCAGAGTCACACCGCTAGGAACAAGGAATGCAGGCCTGGCTCCTGGAAAGAAGAGACTCTGGGAAGGAGCTGGGGTCATAGTGGACAAGGAATGCAGCTTGAACTCCCAGTGCGATGCTGGGAGCAGGGACTCAGAGCAGGGAGGTGATTTTACTTCTGTACATGGCCCTGATGAGACCGCTCCTGGGATACTAGGTCTAGTTCTGGAGCCCACATTTTAAAAAGGTTGCTGGAAAATTGCAGAGGGTGCAGAGAAGAGCCACAAAAATGATTGCAGGGCTGGAAAAAACAGCTGACGGTGAGAGACTTACGGAGCTCAATCTGTTCAGCTTGTCAAAAAAGAACAAGAGGTGAAATGATTGTGCTGATTAGACCCTTCGGGGAGAAGATGCCAGGTTCTAACTGGGTCTTTGATCTAGTGGAAAGGCAGGACAAGAAGCTATGGGAGCCAGACAGCCTCCAAGTAGAAATAAGGCGCCATTTTGAACAGTGAGTGAGGGCTACTGCGGGAAGTGCTGGGTTCTCCATCTGCTGGTGTCCTCAGGTCCAGACTAGATGTCTCTGGAAGGAGCTTTCCCCAAACACAGGCTCTTGGAGAAAATACACAGGGGTAGCTGGGTGAGATACGGAAGCTCCGAGTAGATGATCCAATGGTCCCTTCTAGTCAGTGGATGCACCCCCGTGCTGGCGAGTATGGGGTTCCTGCCGACTCCAGGCTGGCTAGGAACACACCCTCCAGTCCAAGAAGGGACCTGGTGGTGGGAGCTCTCCCAAGAGCAAAGTTGCTGGGATTGGCGGACTCCAGAGGACTCTGTCCCAGATCCGGTCAAGCTCCCACTGCTAGATGCTCTCTGGGCTGTTGTGCTGACTGCCATGTGCCCTGTGCGTGCTGGGACTGGACAGAGGCTAGGCGCTGTCCCCGCCCTGGGCCTCTAGGCAGACACACGGCCTCAGATCTTGTGTCTGACTCTCCTCTTGGCAGTAGGGACCGCGCGGCCCAATCGCCTGGGCCCTGAAACAAGTGCTGTCTGCCCGAGGCCAGCCCAGATTCTTGGTGGGTCTGGTATCGGCAGGGACCCGTGTGTCTGAGTGGAGCCATTCCCTCTCCCCCCATGCTCTGGATGTCCGGCGCCAGTCAGCGCCTGCTCATCTACCTGGGGGAGAGGGGTTCTCGTCTGTGCCCTTGATGGCCCTCATGTTGCTCCTAGGCAGGTTGAGCAGGGGAGTGTTGCCGAGGGCTGCTCTCTTTGAGTGGAGGGGTGTGGCGTGAGTTTCATTCACACACAGCTCTGTTCCCATCGCAGCCCCGTTCCTGCCCTGCAGTCTCCTCGGTTCCAGGGGATTGGCAGGTCTGAGCCTGGCAGACACTTCACTGTTGTGTGCGACGTTAGGGACTGGACTGTCCCCATACGTACTTCAGAAGCTCTGGCCTAAGTTCCCCAGCCTTCTGGGAAAGGCTGTTCCCGTTGTCCCCTGCTCGGGGCCACGCCCCGAATCCCCCCCCCCCCAACTAGATGTCTTGTTAACCTCTGGTGCTGTGTCCGCAGATCCACAAGATCCTGCAGATCTCGGTGCTGGTGGTGGAGCTGCTGGATACAGGTTCCTCCGTGCTGGTCAGTTTGGAAGATGGCTGGGATATCACCACGCAGGTAGGAGTCAGCGCCCTGCAGCACCTGGCTGGCACGGCTAGCCTCTCCCAGCTGCTGGCTTGAGGTCCCAGCCCCTTGTGGGCCGTGACTCTGGCCTTATCCCTCCTGCAGGTGGTGTCCCTGGTGCAGCTGCTGTCTGACCCCTACTACCGGACGATGGAGGGCTTCCGGCTCCTCGTCGAGAAGGAGTGGCTGTCCTTCGGGCACCGCTTCAGCCACCGCGGAGCCCAGACCCTCGCTGGGCAGAGCAGCGGCTTCGCTCCTGTCTTCCTGCAGTTCCTGGACTGTGTCCATCAGGTGAGCTCAGAGCAGCCTGGGCTGTCAGACTTCAGCGAAGGATTAACCTGCGTCCTGGGCCTCGTCTCGGCCAGTGGAATCCAGGTGTAGAGCCAGCCCACCCCTTGCATGGAGGCTGGTGTCCATTTGGCTGTGTGCTTGTCTCTCTGCAGATCCACCTCCAGTTCCCCATGGAGTTTGAGTTCACCCAGTACTATCTGAAGTTCCTCAGCTACCACTACGTCTCCAATCGGTTCCGCACCTTCCTGCTGGACTCGGACTACGAGCGGATCGAGCTGGGTAAGGGCTCTGGGCCCCCGGCCCCGTCACCGATGGTCAGCGCTGTCAGCTGAGCGGCCTGTCTTTCTCTCCCCCCACAGGCCTCCTGTATGAAGAGAAGGGCGAGCGGAAGAGCCAGCAGGTCTACAAGTCCATCTGGGATTACATCGACCGGCTGAACAAGAAAACCCCTGTCTTCTTCAACTATATGTACGCCCCCGAGGATGGTGAGGTGAGCCTGCTCGGCTGGCCGGAGACGCCGGGCCGGATGCAGCCTTTGCCTCCACAGCCCAGTGCACGATCCAGGGAGACCTCCCTCCACCCCACTGCTTGCAGGGAGCCAGGGCCGGCTCCAGCTTTTTTGCTGCCCCAAGTGACAAAGCCGGGGAGGGAATAAGGTAAAGCCGCCATCGGCAGCACTTCGGCGGCAGCTCCACCGCGCCGCTTTCGTTTTTTGGCGGCAATTCGGCGGCGGGTCTTTCGCTCCCAGAGGGACTGAGGGACCTGCCGCCGAATTGCCGCCAAAGACCCAGACGTGCCGCCCCTTTCCATTGGCCACCCCAAACACCAGCTTCCTTCGCTGGTGCCTGGAGCCGGCCCTGGAGGCAGCGAGGCAGCCCAGCTCTGGGAGTGACACAGGACAGAGGCCCAAACCTCGCCTTTCCGAGGGGGGCCCCAATCAGCCTGAAATGGAGGAGATAGCAGTGCCCTTCCTCTCGAGCACAGAGACCGGGGATCCCAGCATCCAGTGCAGTGCTGTCTCCTGGGGCCTTGGGAAGCAGCGAAGTCGGCGGGTTTCACCAGCTGGGGTTGCAGGATTGCCCTGCTGCGGGTGGGGACAGTGTATGACCACCCCGAGTGCTAGGAGTGGAGTCAAGCCCTCTAAAATCAGGAGATGTCGGAATCTATGAACCAAAATGGAATGTTTTTGTTGGCTCCTGCTGGTGGAGGCCTGGCCAGGCCAGCCTGCTGCCTTGGTTTCCCTCCAGAGTTTGGCCAGAATCGACACCTTCCAGTGGAATGCTTGGACTCCGTCTAACCAGTGTTTTCTGAGGGAAGGGCTCCACTTCTCACGTCTCATCCTCTGCCAAGGGCCTGATTCTCACACCAGTGCGATGGCCAGAAAGCACTTGTGCTTGCTCACCGGCCCTGCCCTGCGTGCACAGCTGCAAAGTGCCTCGTTGTTCTCACTGTAGGGCCTGGTTTTCACTTGGTGGGACACGCAGGAAGTCAGTCACCTGCTCACTGGGTGTCCCTTACCCAAGGACACTGTAATAGGCTGCCATTACAGCTGTGCTCTGGGCACTGCGTACCCCTGGGCAAAGTACAGAGGGGCCCGTTCTGCCTCTGGCCCATGCACCGCAATGCGATCTTTGGGGGAGGGGGGGTGGATGCTGCAGCGCGGGGAGCAGCTGCCTAACGTGCTGGCCTGGAGCCGGAGTCTGTCCCAGCTCACCAGGGTTCGGCAGACCCACATGGGGATGACTTGCCCTTGGGGACCCCCAGCCCGGCAGCACAGTTCACCGCCTTTCTGGCCATTGTGGCACCGGGGCCAGGCATCGCGGGGGGGCTGCAAGGCCCTGCTTGAGCACTTCCCGGCCTATTCTTTAGGTGCTGAGGCCCTACAGTAACATCTCCAACCTGAAGGTGTGGGACTACTACACCCAGGAGGTCCTGTCCGAGGGCCCCTCCTACGACTGGGAGCTGGTGCAGGGGCAGCCAGAGCACGTGGAGGAGGTGGATCGGCAGGACTCCAGTGCCCCGCAGACCAAGCGCAAAATCATCTGGCCGTGCTACGACAACCGCAGCCGAGTGGAGCCCGACGCCATCTCCAAGCTGCTGGAGGTGTGTGGGGTGCGGGGGGGCTCCCCAAACGAGAACATAACGCCCAGACTGGGTCAGACCAATGGTCCATCTAGCCGTGCCCTCTCTTCAGAGGGAATGAACAGAACAGGGCAATTTATCGAGTGATCCATCCCCTGCTATCCACTCCCAGGTTCTGGCAGTCAGAGGTTTAGAGACACCCAGAGCACGGGGTTGTGTCCCTGACCAGCTTGGCTAATCGCCATTGATGGACCTGTCCTCCAGGAACTGATCTCAGTCTTTTTTGAACCCAGTTATACTTCTGGCCTTCACAACATCCCCTGACAACGAGTTCCACAGGCTGGCTGTGGGTTGTGTGAAGAAATACTTCCTGCTGTTTGTTTTAAACCTGCTGCCAATTAATGTCATGGGTGACCCCTGGTTCGTGTGTTACATGAAGGGGTAAATAACACTTCCTGGTTCACTTTCTTCATGGCCTTCATAATTTTATAGACCTCTATTGTATCCCCCCTTCGTCGTCCTTTTTCTAAGTTGAACAGTTGTTACTCTCGCCTCACGTAGGAGCTGTTCCAGCCCCCTCACCATTTTTGTTGCTGTCTCTGAACCTTTTCCAATTCTAATAAATCTTTTGTCTTTCCCCCTCTTCGGAATAACCTCTGACTCCTCCCGCAGGAGCTGCACAGCCTGGAGGCGGAGCTGGGCCAGGTGCCGGAGCGCTGGAAGGACACGTGGGACAAGGTCAAAGTCAGACCCACTCCCAAATGCTTGCCAGGAGCCCACCCAAATATTTCCGGCAGTGATAC